CACTCCACCATGACCCACCGAAAAGTTGTCGTCACATTTCTCTAAACACCAGGACGCGTCGGTCTCTCCCAGCTGCTGCGCAGCACCACTCCCTTTCCGTGGGATCGTCCCGTACGCAACTCCAACCTGCCACCACCGCGTGTCCCCCACGTCCACCTCCCAGTAGTGGTGGCCCGACGAGAAGCTCTCACAGCACAGGGCTTGTGCACAGCCATCAAACCGGTGTGGGTGATAGGGGCGACCCTGGGAGGCAAGGACTCCTGTCATCGTCCTAAGATCAGAAGAGATCTGGAGTTGGTCATGAGCTGAGTTTGTGTCCAGAGTCAGTGAGCGTCCATCTGTGACAACAGCGATGACAACGTCACTATAGAACACCATTATCACCATCATTCACCACCATCATCAACATCACCAACCATCATGTTTACCATCAACAGGAACATTACAAACATCACCATCACCAACCATTCTTGCCATCAATATCATAGATGACAACATAAACAGTACCATCACCACCATCATCAACACTATGAACATCACCACCATCTCTAACATCTTCATCACCAACACGACCAGCATCATTATAACCATCACAACGACCATCAAAACCATCATCACGACCATCACTACCATTATCACCGTAACCAATATCATCACTACTACCATCAGCTCCATCAGCAAAACCATCACAACCATCACCACCTATATTATCACCAATGTCACCATCATTACCATCATCACAACCATCACTGCCATCACCACGACCAACACCATCACTCACCAATGCCATCACCATTCCCATCAACAACAACAACCGCCATTCGCCACTAAGTGGCGGTGACGTCACCATGACGCTTGTGCCAGGCTATGTGCACTTTGAGGAAGTATCGAACGCCTGCTGGCAGGAGGTCACGGGGCAGAACCAGGTGCCACAGGTCGACTGACTGAGATGACTGTCTGATGCACCACCTGTGCCCCCTACTGTGCCAACTTGCTGTGTTTTAGCCACCCGGCGCTCCGCTCGTTGTTGTGAGCATCGCTCCTTCGCTCTCTGTTGTTGTTGGAGGGCGACTGCCTCCAACTGCCCAGTAGCAGCGTCCTTCACGAGGCTCCTCCACAGAGGCCGATCTTGACACCGCTGGTACCAGTCATCGGCAAGTCCAGTCAGCTCCACATTCTCCTTTACCACATCACTCCATCTCTTCTCTAGCCCGTGCCACGCCAATTTAGCTCCCTCGATCCAGCCAAACAAAATCTGTTTAGGCATGCGGTGGCTGGGCATGCGGGCTACATGGCCCAGCCAAAGCAGCCTTGCCTGCTGCAGGAGCTCACCGATGGAACTTTGTCCAGATCTTTCAAGGATTTGTGAGCTCCTCACACAATCCAGCCTGATTAAACCCAGGATGGATTGTAGGCAGGCCAGCCTAAATGTCTCTAACCGGCGAAGATGTTCCATTAGGGGGGTTCACGTGTCGCAAGCATAGAGAAGGGAGGGAATGACTTTGGCCGAGAAGAGCTGAAGCTTCTTGCGGAGTGACAGACCAGGTAGCTTCCACACAATGTTACGCAACCGATGAAAAGATAATGCCGCTCGACTGATTCGGAGTGAGACCTCTACTGTTAAACCGGAGCCGGCCCAGGTATGGGAAACTCTCCACTCTCTGCACAACTGCCCCATCACCAATTGGGAGTTGTGGGTGTGTAGTGTCCGATGGTGCAAAATACCCAGGCAGGTGCTTAGTTTTGTGGGGCTGATGGTAAGGCCCGACCTCTTAGTGGCAAGCTCCAGGTTCAGCAGCAGCGCCTCCAACTCGTCCTCTGAGTGAGTAGCAATTACCAGATCATGGGCATACTACATAACAAGGTTGAGCAATAGGAGCCATCCCTTGACCGCACCCAGTCATCGATCAGCCTCCCATTGTATCTGTACCTGATGGATAATTCCTCCGGTACAGCTATTGAAGGCTTCACGAACTACGTGGTTGAAATAGATGTTAAATAATGTGGGAGCTAGAGGACATCAATGTCGCACCCCAAGGTGTACAGGGAATGGCTCCGACTAACGGCCACGTAGTTTTACCTGGGCCCGCTCACCATCATGAAGGTCCTTAATGATCGTGAGCAGAGGGTCAGGGACTCCGAAAGCACGAAAAACAATCCAGAGCCCAGGCCTACTGATGGTATCAACGTGCATAGCAAGCCGATGTTGAATGTTCCTTGCCAGGACCTTTCCCGGCACACTGAGGAGTGAGATGCCCCTGTAGTTGTTACAGTCTGTGCTGTACCCCTTCTTAAAGAGGGGGACCACCAGCGCATCCTTCCAATCCTGCGGAAATCATCTAGTGATTCAGATTGTTGTTATGATGTCATTTAGGGCAGTCTGTGCACAAACGCCACCCTCCTTCAGCATTTCGCTAGGAAGATCATCTCTGCCCGGTGCCTTTCCTGGATCGCCCTCATTACCCTCTTAACAGATGGCACCTCAGCCAGCCACTCACAGGGCGTGACTTCTTCCTCCAATATTTAAGGCACCGCAGCCTCAGCAGAATCATCCTCACTTTGTCCCACGTTGATGTCCCCTCCCCCAGGACCTCACAAAAATGCTCAGCAAATCTGCAAACCTGTTCCTGGGGGTCGGAGATTGGATCACTGTTCTTTGCCCCAATGATGGTAATAGCTGTGGCGCTGCAGGTTACTTTTTGGATGGAATTAAGGAGCGATTTGTGATCGCGGGCCATTGAGGCAGACTCCAACTCCTCAGCAACCCGCGACCACCACCCATCCTTGCAGCGCCTCACGGCTCTCCAAACCTCCGAGTAAAGGCTGCGGTAAGCCTCCTCATTCTCCGACGTGGGATGCTGTAGCCGATGAGAGTGGGCCTGTCGCTTTTTCTCAGCCAGCCTGAACACCTCCTCTGTCAGCCAGGGTCTCTGGGGAGGTCTGGACCGTGTACCCAAAGCAGCCATTACAGCTTCATGAGCCACAGTCCTAAACCTCGCCCATTTCCCCTCGACATCAGGAGGAGTGGGGGACGATGCCAACCCCAGCTGCAAGCGATGATTAAAATCTCACTTGCAACTTTCATCAGCTAGCTGAGACCATGCCACTAAGGGTTTGAGTGGGGTCCTGGGTGTACACCCACGACTGGAGTGGAAGAATAGCAGGCGCATCTTACAGATGATAAGTTGATGGTCAGTGGGCAGATCAGCTCCACGATAGGTACTGGTGTCAAGGACATGGGCCCACATCCGCTGATCCGTCACTATATAGTTCAGCAGATGTTCTTGCTTGGACCCGGCATGCATCCATGATGTTGTGTGGATGCGCCGATGCTGGAACAGCGTGTTGGTAATTACAAGCCCATGGGCTTTACAAAAATATAGCAGCCTCCTGCCATTGTTATTGAGCTGATCTGGCCCATGCCTTCCAATCACTCCAGATCAAGTGCCAGCATCATGACCAACTCAGGCATTGAAGTCACCCAACAAGATGACTCTATCCGAAGGGGCCACTTTAGCTAGCACCTGTGACAGAAGGTCATAGAAGGCATCTGACTTATCGGCCTTGCCTGCATCCCTCCACGGATGTTCGTCTTCAGTGGGGGCATAAGTAACCATGACCACCACTCATCGCCTCTGGTTGATGGGAAGGCGAGCCAAAAGTAGCCTGGGGCTTGCAGCCTCCCACACCTCACTGCCACGCTCCCACGCCCCCTTAATTATTTTGTTCAGAAAAAGAGCCACTCCCTGTTGTTTGGCAGTCTCCTGCCCCGAGAAGAGGACTGTCCACCCCTCATGGTGGCAGGAACCAGAGCCGGTCCACCGGACCTCCTGAATGCCACAGAGATCCAGGCGGTACCGGTCCAACTCCCGACAAAGGAGTGGCAGCCTCCCCTCTGCAGTGAGCGTTCAAACATTCCACGTGGCCACACGTAGTGGTGTTTTGTTGTAATAAGCTTATGCCCAAGGCACAAGCTTATTAATTACATTTTTCCGTCGTAGTTTAGTGGTAGTTAATTGAAGGTGGAGGGGTTACCAGCCCCTTGCACCCATCCAGAACCCCCATTTGGCCGCTGTGGTGGTTACAAATGCCATGAGAGGAGAGGCCAATCTGAATTGGTCCTCCCCCCATGGCACTGCCCATGACAGCGTTGCCCGTCCGGCACCATGAGGAGGTAGGGGGTTGTTTTACAGGGACTATCATTCCCATCACTCACATTATCACCAACATCAGCATCATTACTACCAACAACAACCGCCATTCGCCACTAAGTGGTGGTGACATCACCACGGCGCTTGTGCCAGGCTATGTGCACGTTGAGGCCACGTAAAGTGTAGAACGCCCACTGGCAGGAGGTCATGGGACAGACCCAGATGCCATGGGTCCACTGAGATGACTGGCCGATGCACCACTATCCTTACCACCTTCCTCATCTCGACCACTATCATCATCATTACGACCATTACCAGCATTAGGAACTTATTTGAGGTTTAAACTGCCTAGTAGAGGTCCAGGACTGGATAAGATATCACCTGCCACTGATGTTAGCTATGGCTGATAATTATCAGAGCTAGGCAATTAGGTTTGTAGTGCAGTGTGCTAACCACTATGCGACCACTCCCCCCACCCACAAATGCACAGACACATTCAAAGGCCACTACCTCTCAATATCACAATTACCCCTGACTCATAATGTTGATTTTTACAAAAGAATGCCACACTGAGTCTCATGGCTCTGTTCAGTAGGGTTCTGGCATGAGATGTGAAAAAGACTAAGATCCCTGTGTAACCTTAACAGACCATTGGGGCAAGTGCTGTTAGCGAGCATCTATGAAGGCCGGCACGAAACACGAAGAGGTGGGTGGCAAGCACCACGCCAGGCCATCATTTTTTCCCTAGTGGCGATTTTGTTTAAACACCGTATTTGTTTCCAAAATGTAAACAAAGACAAATATCCTGAGTGTAGCCTTAACAGACTGTCAGGACAAATCAATACCTTTAAAAGCTGGCACGGCACATGAGGGGTTGGGTTGCCAGCATTACGCCTGGCCACCTTTGTCTGCCTAGTGGTGATGTTTACTCACAACACCAGGTAATTATTTGAGGCTGTATCGTCCTCGTGCACACACACGGGGATAATTTATTGTGAAGATGGCCCCATCACCCATGTTTCACAATGAACAACTCACACAGGCGTTTGGCCACAGTTCCCTCAGTGCCTTTAAGCGAGGCAATGTCCTCTTGGCTGGGAGTTGAGGGTGGAGCTGCTGTAACACTCCCTGTCCTGTGAAAGCAGAACAGACATGGCTACTGTTTCACATAGAGCATCGTCACTCACAGGATCATCACAGCATCTTCACACGTGGGATCATCACAGCTCCATCATATCGAGTGTCATCACGCAAAGCATCATCACTCATAATAATAGGGATTTTCCCCTTTTTTCTGGCAACAAAACTGAAACATTTTTACGAGGAATAATGTCTGCATTAACCACAATACGTGTGGTCAAAATGCAAACCAAAAACACACGTCTTTGAGCATTGTCTTTGAGCTGTACGCCTTTTGGCGTCATCTGGTCTAGCAACAATTGATACGAGGCTCAAAAGAAGCCGTCTCTGGTGTGGACCAATCAGTTTCAAGGACAATGCATATATTATCAGTGTTTTTTGTTTGCATTTTGACCACAAGCATTGTTGCCAGAGAAAAAGGGAAAACCCCTATTCGTATATTTTGGTACTGGCAAAGGAAGTCTAATGATGTGCATCATCACTCATATCACAATTACAGAATTACCACATGGCATTACTATCATCACACAGCTTTACCACACACACCATCATCACACACAGCATTACTATCACCAAACATAGCATCATCACATACAGCAGCATCACACAGTATCACCACACACTGCCTCATCACATACAAATATCACCACACACTGCCTCATCACATACAAATATCACCACACACAGCATCACCACACACACCATCATCACACACAGCATCATCACACACACCATCATCACACACAGCATCACCACACACCATCATCACACACACCATCATCACACACACCATCAGCACAAACAGCATCATCACACACATCATCACCACACACCATCATCATACATCATCACCACACACACCATCAGCACAAACACCATCACCACACACAGCATCCCCACAAACAGCCAATGTCTCACTGTCCGCGCCCCACACTCAGTCCCATGTTCTCGTGTGTCGAGTCGTGAGTGATTGTTGTCTTTTACCTGCACGTCTCCTCCAGGTGCCCCTATGGGAGAGAGAGAGAGATGCGTTACTGTGACTCTACCTCGATTCCCTTGTGATTAGTGGAGTTTCCACTGCAACACCGTGGGTAGAATATAAACCCCAAAGTCTTGGCTTATGACCACATGATAACCAACACTGACTTACGGGGCAAATATTTCAGAGTGAGACCGGTTGATAGTCAACTATAAACTATTTTTATTTTTCCAGGTAAGGCCTACGGAGCTGTACAGCTCTTTTTAAGAAGCGACCTGGCCACAAATGATGGAAATTTATAGCAGCCCATTACTCTAAACGCACGTTTTCAAATGTGTAGGGAAATTCTGCAGGACCCCAAGGAAAGAGACATGACAACCCCAAATATATGAGGACGTCAGGGTTGGGATCCAATCCCCGATTTGATACCAGGCGAGGTAGTTAACATCTCGCCACCCCTATGAGGACCAACACTGATTTGCTGGGCAACTATTTCAGAGTGAGACGGGTTGATATGAATCTGTGTTGAGATTTAACTGAGTACTGGTAATTTATGTCGTCAATGCACACATGGCAGCTCTTGCAGAAGTGGTGGACAATACACAAGGGTATCAGCAATAATCAAGACAATCCGATGTGTTGGTCCTACCGTGTTTAAGGTCTGCTTTGTGTTCACGAATGCGGTCCGAGACATGTCGTTTGGTTTCTCCGATGTAACTACTACCACAGAGGCAACTTAGTTTGTAGACACCAGGGTACTGTATGTCCGGAGAAACCAAACGACATGTCTCGGATCGGATTCGTGAACACAAAGCAGACCTTAAACACGGTAGTGGCCATGGCAGATCACTGTTATAATTCAGTAGGCTCACATGACATTGACTTCTCCAAGACAGAGGTTCTTTGCAAGACATCTGGCTACCATGAGAGATTCGTTCATGATGCTATCCACATATACAAACACAGAGACAATTTCAACCGAGAAGATGGATTCTGGCTTAGCAATCATTGGAAGGATTTGATAAACCATTTCGGGTCTTAATTGATTGTTCACGCTTACAGTGGCTTTCAGACAGCATACACTAATTTTTCGTCTCCCCCCTCCTCTTTTCCGAACATAGATGGACTCGTCCATCTAAACAAACTGTCAAATCGCTATCTGTGGTGCTAACGTTAATAAATAAATACAAACCGACACTTCTTTCAAATGTTCTTGCCGTTGGATTTCACACCTGATGATGACTGCTTGTGTTGTAGTCGAAACGTTGTGAGAATTTTATTGTTTTATATATATTTTATTATTTTATTGTTTTCCTTCAACGTGACTTTACCGAAAGAACCAAGAATACGAATCACTGCAGTCACGAAAGCTTTAAATCAAAAAGTACAATTCCAATACATTTAGTTTATATTCACAATAAAACAAACTTAACGGGAATCTGCTAAAGGACAGGAGAGAGAATATTAATTTAACTGAGAAAATATGAGCTGGGCTTCCACATGGCAGCCACTGGAGCTGTGAAGTCCATGAGTGGAGCTGTGTTCTCAAGCCCAGTGGATGCAAGCTCTCATTCAGGAGCCTCCCTAGGCTGCTGCTGCTGGTGAGAGGGCTCCGTGGTCAATAGCGACACTGGAGACTCAGCGCTCACCTGCAGGAACGCGAGCGAGTCCCTCTCCTGCGCTAGGGCCTGCAGGCGAGTGACTGCTGCCTGGAGCTCGGTGATCTCGCGCTGGTCGTGAGCGATTTTCTTCTCGATCTGGGACAGCAGCTCGCGCCCTTTCTGCTCCGCTTGCTCTAAAGCCGCCTTCTCCTCTGCATCCAACGCTGCTCTCGCGCAGGCGAATCTGACCGAGATTGAGGCCTTTTCATCTGTCATGGATCCCTGTAAAGAGAAAGCAATACCACCTCTGTTCATTACATGTCTGGTCTATTGTGAAATGACATTGAGGTGTGACCCGAGTACAACTGTGAAGGTGTCCAGACAGTGATACAAGTCTGCAGCATAGAGGCCTTCTTCTTCCTCTGCCTCTGATAACGCCACTGTGAATTTTCAGTATAACACGATTCGCCATGACTGGTCAAGGCTGTGAGGCAATGGCATTATCAAATACCATCATGAGTACATTTAGCATCTTTGCCATTATCATTGCGCAAGGCTATCAAGACAATGCTTTGTTTACCTTTGCATGAAGCGAAGGAAAATCTGTAATTTATCTTCAACAAGAGGAGCCATAAGGAATTGGGAAGTTTGGCCAATTCCTCTTTCAATTCATGTTTTGAATGTGAGAGAAACCCGCATATGTATGGATGAAGAGATGGGATCATGAAACGACTTGCTATCCTGCCACCTGGCCAACCTAACGCCTGATTGATTTTAGTAAGATGGTGTACAATAGTCTACGTGTGATCCGCTTACTCTGCCACCAGATTATTGGATAATAGGTATGTAGCACCTCATCTGATCAATATAGATAACAGACGTTGAAGTGTTAAGTTCTATGGAGATATGGGAATGTGGAATTTCCATCACTGATTGAGTTTCTCAGTGGAGATGAGAACCACCTCGTTGTTCGTCCTGATTATTGAGGCGTATTAACGGTTGTGTTTTTAGTCCCACAATGTGTTTAGAGCCAATGGAAGTCCACGTGAATGAATGGAGTTGTCCTCCATCACAAAACCTACTCAGAGTGGAGTCACGGGGTAACAGAGTCACGGTACCTGCACATCCCTGCTAGCTGCCTCCATCCGCCTCACAGACTCCTCCGCCTCCCTCCTTTTCTCCTCCACCGCCCGCGTCTCCTCTCCCACTTGTTTCTGTGAGAGACATCATTAGGAGAGACTCCACTCACTCTCTGAGCATCCCCTCTCAACCCCACTCCACGTGAACCCCTCCACACTGATGGGGGCAGTAGCCCCGGTGAAACGATGGAGGCTGGGGGAGCAAAGGCTGCAGGGAACTGATTTCACGAGGAGCTCAAACGTGTTCAGGGCTACCTGAGTAGTGGGTGGCGTTTTCTGAGTAGTGGGCGGTGCTGAGTAGTGGGTGGAGCTACCTAAGCGGCGGGTGGGGCTACCTGAGCAGTGGGCAGGGTTACCTGAGCAGTGGGCGTGGCTACTGGAGTAGTGGGTGGGGCTACCCGAGTAATGAGCGGGGTTACCCAAGTGGTGGGAAGGGCTAACCGAGTGGTGGGTAGGGCTAACTGAGTAGTGGGTTGAGCTACCTATGTGGTGGGTGGGGCTACATGTGCAGTGGGCAGGGCTACTGGAGTAGTGGACGGGGCGACTGGAGTAGTGGGTGGGGCTACCCAAGTAGTGGGCAGGGCTACCCGATTAGTGGGCGGGGCTGAGTAGTGGTTGGACAGGGCACCGGAGTGGCAAAATGTTATCTGCCTTGCCTGCTATACAGGAGGTTGTGGGTTCGAATCCGACCCTGATACCTGTGTAGTGAGTCACTTTCGAGACACTAGTTAGGAGGCAACATCGTTTATTCTACACTATATAACACCGTTACACACGGGACTACAATATGCCTATCTCTTACACACCGTTACACACGGGACTACAATATGCCTATCTCCTACACACCGTTACACACAGGATAACTATAAACGGGTCAGAGCAGCCAACGTGCTGTCTGACCCACGACGTGAGAGATGCAGACGAAGACATAGCACCTTGGGTTCACTTCGCCTGCAGACAGCCCCGATCTTTGATCTGGGCTGTCTGCATTTTGTTTCCCTTTAATCTCTCTCAGTGCGGCCTAGCTCCGTTCTCGGCTGCGCCCTCTCCTGGAACATTCCTGAAGGTTCCAGGCTATCTTGCACGTGCCACCTGCCCGGCTCCGCCCTTAACCACGCTTCCTTCAGGAACTCTCCGGAAGATTCCCGTCTACACTTCCCGTGTCCCATAGGTCACCTTGGCCCCACATACCTCACAACGGCCCATCACGTGTTTCACCCGAGGCTGGGGTGACTCGTCCTCATATGCCCCCTTCTGCCAGTAGCCCGCACCACGTTGTCCTCTGTCGGTATGACTCATCAGCCTCTCTCTGCTAGCACACAGTACCACGCACCCTAGTGACCCACTGTGTGGTACTTCATGGTGTGCTCGCCTCTCCACCCATATTTCCTCATTCTACTGTACTTAGTGCTACGCGCTGTAGTAATCCATTCTATATCACTACACCTGTATATATGCAGTTTGCATGTCACTCTCCATGGTAGCTTGGATTTTTCTCTGGGTCCTCCGGTTTAGGAAGGTGCGTTTAGAGTATTTGGCTGCTATACATTTAGACCTGATAATCTACTTCGTTGAGCTGTCATTTGTGGCCAGGTTGCCAGTTACATAGCTCTGTGAGTTTCACTTGGTAAAAAAAAAATGTTTTAGTTTAGTTTTACATGGTACAAGGAGGGGCTGCCATTGCACTGTTGATTGTCACAGAAATTCGGTAGAGAGGATCTTGATGAAAATATAAATACGGTCACGAAATACTTGGTCTGTCAAAATCACGCGACATTTCTGAAACGCCAAGTCCAGTGACCCGGTAGCTGCTGTAGAGTGCGGCGCTACACTGGGACAGAACGGCACGAGGCTTCCAAGCAGTGAGCACTAGTCCCAGTCGTTTTACATTTTGTTTACATTTTGGGGAATGCTTCTCTCTACCACAAACCACTTTTTTGTATACAAACCACAGTCTATGCACTCTCGTCATTTTGAGAACACGTTGTACACATAAAATTCCATCAGTTTTATAAAATATACTAAGAGCACATTTATAATTTTGCCATAAAACAGGATTGGTAATAACTTGCGGATGTATTATTTATGTACGATGACAACCTCAGCATACTTTGTATTCAATCAAAGTTGTTAAAATGTTAAGGAACAATGGCCAGTTGAGAGACGAATGATATTTAGTTCTAAATTATTGTTCAGTTCATGCTGGGAAATGATGACTTCACGCAGGAGAGGCTCCCGCTCACACACGCAGACCGTCTCACCTCCCGTGTCTTGTGCTCATCCTCCAGCGTAGCCACATCGTGACCCTTGTGTTCTCCTGCGATGATGCAGGTTGTGCAGACCAAGCCTTTGTCCTGTCGGCAGTAAAACTTAATCTCCTCTCTGTGTTTCTTGCATTTGCGGTCCTCAGAATTCGTGGTTGGAGCCACGAGAATGTGGTCCTTGAACTTCGGGTTCTCCTGATGAGGCTTTACATGAGTCACACAGTATGACATATCACACCTGAGGCAGGTCTTCGAGGCAGCTGTCGTGCCATTGTTGCAGAAATCACACAAGACCACGGTGACCATTTTCTCTGTGGCACTGCGCTGCTCCACCAGGCTGGCGAGCGTGAAGTTCTTGTTCAGCTGAGGCCTATGAGGGAAAGTCACTCGGCACTGTGGGCAGGAGAAGGACTTGGCCATATCCCAGGCGCCCTCCACGCACTTGAAGCAGAACGAGTGGCCGCAGCTGAGCGTGCAGGGGCAGCAGAAGGTGTCCAGGCAGATGGTGCAGGTCAACTCCTCTGGAGCCTCGTGACCACGGGGAGCTGTTCTCGCCATGACCCCGTGGCTCCACTCAGAGACGGGCGCTGGATGTAGCTCAGGCAGCCACTGAATGTAGCTCAGGCAGTCGCTGGCTGTAGCTCAGGCAGTCTCTGGATGTAGCTCAGGCAGTCTCTGTAGCTCAGGCAGTCTCTGTTAGTTTCTCAGGCAATCGCTGGCTGCGTCTGAGACGCTAAACGAGGAACAAGCCACGTAAATAGGTGACAAGGAAGTAGGAAAACTTTCAGTTTGATTTGCATATCACAAGGCGTGCCCTGGAATGTGTTGACGTGTGAGCGAGTACAGACGCCTCCACTGCATGGGTAGCTTAAAAAATAAAACTTCGGATCACCTTGTCTAAAATCATCATCCTCACTCACCTCATCTCAACTCACCTCAACTCACCTCAACTCATCTCACCTCAAAACAACTAACCTTACCTCATGTCAATTCACCTCAACTCACCTCATTCATCCTCAACTCACCTCACCCCAGCTCACCTCATCTCATCTCTCCTCAACTCACCTCAACTAACCTCAACTCACCTCAACTCAACTCACCAACTCAACTCACAAGAACTCACCTCATCTCAACTCACCTCACCTCAACTCACCTCACCACAACTCATCTCAGCTGAACTGGCAGGGGAACGCTGCTCGTAAACGCGTTGCTCCCTGCCGCTATACTCCACGAGATTGTTGTTGTTATCTTCGTCTTTCAGCTTCACCTTTTTTTGTTTTAAGTGTAACACTTTAAACTACTTCATGAAAATAATTTGTTCCTGTCTCAAAGTCGCGTACGAGATGGTGGAGCTGTGAGACACCGGTGGAAGTTGCCGTGTTTAACTCGGTCACGTGGCTGGGGCTGAGGGTCCAGCTGGTGGAGCTGTGAGACACTGGTGGGAGTTGCTGTGTTTAACTCGGTCACGTGGCTGTGGCTCAGGGTCCAGCTGGTGGAGCTGTGAGACACCGGTGGGAGTTGCCGTGTTTAACTCGGTCACGTGGCTGGGGCTCAGGGTCCAGCTGGTGGAGCTGTGAGACACCGGTGGGAGTTGCCGTGTTTAACTTGGTCACGTGGCTGGGGCTCAGGGTCCAGCTGGTGGAGCTGTGAGACACAGGTGGGAGTTGCCATGTTTAACTCGGTCACGTGGCTGGGGCTCAGGGTCTAGCTGGTGGAGCTGTGAGACTCCGGTGGGAGTTGCCGTGTTTAACTCGGTCACGTGGCTGTGGCTCAGAGCCCAGTTTGTGGAGCCACAAACCACCGGGCGAGGCCCTTTGCTGAACCGAGCACCGTGACCTGCTCATGTGGGCGGGGGGCAGGCGCCCCAGGGGTAGTGCGGCTGTAACACATCAACATCAGCGCGTAAAAACCTAAATAGGACCTTTTTTGCCAGTATAAAAGTGTGTGAAGATAATAATGATAGGTTTTACCTTCATGGCAATAAAACAGGAGTTGTGTTCTGGTGTTTGAACAGCAAATAAGTTTGTGTGGTTAATGCAGACTTTACTCCTTGCAACAGGCAGCAATTGTATGTTGAACATCTCAACACCTCATTGAACCTCTCTTGCCAGTATCAAAATATAAGAATAAGTTTTACCCTTTCTGGCAATAAAACAGCAGTTGTGTTAAGATGTTAAAACACCAAACAGAAACCTTAACAAGGAATAATGTCTGTATTAGCCACACACAGTGATTGTGGTGAATATACAAACAAAACATCCTCTGATAATATGTAGGCATTGTATTTGAAGCTGATTGGCCTACACCAGAGGCAGCAGTCTTCTTTATGGCCTAGTCTCACCACCAGCGTTTGTAGACCAGAGAACAACGCAAAAAACAAACAGTACAAAGACAGTGCACGGATTAGAGCATTTAGAGTTCGGGGTGAGCAGCTACATCATGGGATACCTTTTTGCTAGGATGAAAGTATGAAAACTAAGAATAGGTGGTATCCTTTCTGGCAATTAAACAGGAGTTGTGTTCAGATGTTCAAACACCAATAGATACATTTTGCAAGGAATCAATTACTGCATTAACAACACATGGCACTTGTAGCGAACATACAAACAAACATGGCTGTGTTAATATATGATGCATTGTCTTTTAAACGGATTGGCCAACTACAGATACAGCTTTCTTTAGGGCCTAGTCTCACCAGTCTCAGACCAGAGAACGCCAAAAGGCGAATAGTGCAAAGGCAATGCACTATCAGGGCATTTATAGCTCTAAGTGAGCAGCTACAAAATGGGACCCGAATCGCTATCGTGGCCACGCTAATTGTGAGGGTCGCTCTTTTGTCTACGTGAGAGAGCGAGAAATGAGTTAGGATCCATTTTCTCTGCCGTGCAATTCCCTTAATAATTTTGTTATAAGGTACCATCGCGGGTTTTTCAACCTTGCTTTAATGGCGACAAAAAGGACAATAACTCGATCAGGAATACCGAGAATCTTAACAAGATTGGGAATTTATTCATTATGCCTCGATTCGTCAAGCACTATTGAAACAATTTGCTCAAGGACGTGAACCAACTGTGGCAGATAAAAATATATTGACAACCAAGTGCAACCAATTCTTCAAAACTCCCGACAACAGTAACAGCTCACGTTTACATAACCCCGTAAGTCCACCGGCTTAACACGGCGACCCCACAGCGCGTCGACGATCGCAGAACTCCGCGGCGACCGTCCGCACCACAACCCTGACGCGCGCTCCGCTTCCAGGTGACGAGGCAACGTGACAGAAGCCCACCAACATTCAATCTCGAAGTCGCGTTCAGCCTCGGGCATCCCCCCCAGGAAGCAACGGTAGTGCAGCACTCTGCGGGGGTTGCTGCCCCCTGCCATCACCGAATTGTCGGGGCCGTTGTTCCCCGACTCCCCCGTTACATTCGTACTACTGCGGGTGCTGCCACCCGCCTCCACCGTCCTAACCCCGCCATCCCCCGTCTCCTCTGTCGCAGTTATACCACTGCCCCCTGGCTGTTCTGTCGGGTTCGGGCTACCGACCCCCAATTCCTCGCCCCCCTGTGCCCCTGACTGTGTTGTCGACCGCGTAAGCATGGCTCAATTAGTGGGGCCGTCTACTCTACGCTTCCGACGTGCTACGCTGCTCGGTGGCGGACGTACTGCTGTGGGTGCGCCCGCCAAGCAAAACCCCGTCCCGCACGGGAACAAACGGGTACGGCGCGCTGATGTGTGACTCCCTCACACACCTGCTCTACGAGCCCTGGCAATAAAAAGCCCGACGCTGCTACCTGCCCAGCCCCGTACACCAATCACACGCGAGGGAGTTTGGGTCGGGGGTGAGGGGGCAGGGGTGTCTGCCGTGCGCGGGCCGCTGATTGGGGGGAGTCGCTCCGCTGCGATTTGAAGGGCCGTTTAAACAGCCGCGCGTGTACGCGCACACTAGGCGCTTGGCTCCCTGTTTTGCTAAAAACAACCGCGCATGCACGCGCCCGCAAGACCCTCCCATGAACAGTCACACAGGTACGTGAATGCTAAGTACTCCCGTAAACAGCTGCACGGGCACGTGAACGCCAAGCACTCCCGTAAACAGCCGCGTAGGCACGCGCATGCTAAGCACTCCGCCTCGTTGTAAACAATCGTGTGTGCACGCGATCACCAGATGCTACACTCCCTTATTCGCCGCAAACAGCCGCGTATGCGCACGAGCGCAAAACACTCCACCTCCCTCTTCATACTCACAGCGACCATGACACAGTTGTATCCTCTATTAGCGGTTTTATTCCCCGCGAATATCCCGCTAAACTACGTGTCTGTGTGAGTCAGCAGGCCCTCCTAGCCTATCCTTCGGGAATCCCAGGCTCAATCTATCCCGCCTGCCTCTCCGCTTTCTTCCTTCTGATCAATTAGCCCGCACTCACCTGACTCTCAACCTGACGCGCTTGACGCTGTGGGAGGGTGATGCTGTGAGTCATCTCCATGGAGGATTGTGCCTGGCTGCGCTGAAGCTCGTCACATGGACGATTCGAACGGCCGGTTCCGTGGACCTTGATGACTGGAAGAACTCTGTCTCACTGCCCCAACCTCCTCATTTCATCCTCCCTATCACAAAGGCATTCCGCGGCGCCCGCACTCGTGCACCCGTGCCCTTTGATATGCGGATCCGTAATCCCACCTATAACAAAAGGCATTCAGTTGCTCTCGCATCCATGCTGCCCTGTTCATTCAGAGGCCTGGCTATTCCTGTCCCTTTGATATTTCGATCTGATCCCCGATCCCGCCTATAACAAAGACATTCAGTTGCTTCCGCACTCGTGCCGCCCTGTCCATTCAGATGTCGGGGTGTTCCTGTCCCGTTGTTATTTGGATCCTAATCCTACCTATAACAAAGGCGTCCCGCTGTTCCCGTACTCTGTGCCCCCCCTGTCCAATCGGAGGTCTGGGTTTTCCCGCCTTTGGATCACAGCTCTGGTGACGTCACCGCAGTGGTTTCTCAGACGTTCGCTTTCTGTTCATCATCCTACTCGCCAGCACTGTGTGTGTGATCCCATCTGCGGTGGCTTTACAGCCCCCTGCCGTGGCTATGTAATTATAATATCAGGCCACGGCGCCGCGGTGCTGGTCAGCCTCAGGGGTAGGTCGCCCAATTCCCCGGCCGCAGGAAACCATGACGCTTGATCCCATTAGGGGCTTCTGGATGAAAACCTGTCGGCCAGGTGACCCACCCCGCGGGCCCTCTATGGGGCATGCGTGTGTCGGGTGTGCATGTATCCATGTGGGGGGGAGGGGGGTTGGGGGGCGGCGAGGGCGCGTAGCGTCGGCGTCGACACTCCCTGGTGGCGGCGTCACGGCGGTGGGTACGGCCCCGACGGAGCGGCTCTGCTGCGGCGGCACCACAACTCCCAGGATTCAACGCAGCATCAGCCTGAACCTTGGCTCGCACTCACAACGGCGCCCTTTAATGGATCAACGCAGCCACAGTCTCGGGACTTGGTTGGTTGCTCTCAACAGCGCTCTGAGTAACTCCACCCAGCTCCCGTCTCGGTCACTGCCACGCCCGCACGGCAGCACCGCACACAGCTGCTCCACGCACCAGCAGCACCGGGCACCGACTCGCCTGTTACAACGGCAGCAGCAGCAGCAGTGCCAGCAACATCCCATCGCGACAACAGTCCCAGCCACCGACTCGCCCACACCACAGCAGCCGCTCCCCTGCAGGAGCCCCCCCCACCCCCCCGCCACCTGACCCCGGTGAACGACGACCACCCCAGCCCCTCATGCAGCAGAACCCCTCCTCTGTATACTAGTGTGGTGTATAGTGTAGTGTATAGTGTAGTGTATAGTGTAGTGCAGGGGTCGGGAACCTATGGCTCGCGAGCCAGATGTGGCTCTTTTGATGATTGCATATGGCTCGCAGATAAAACAA